TTTAGAGGCAAATCTGCAAATAAGTAGCATAAACTAACCTCTCAGAAAATGCAGGGTTACAGAGTCATTTCAATGCTGCATGATCATAAGTGAAAAGAAATTTTCTCATTGCTGCAAGAAAAACTGTAGTATTTAACAAGTGTTCATTATAAATTGACCAAACACATAAAGTGGAATCCTCATGATACTTGATATTTGTTTTAATGCAAATATATTGCTGTATCAAGTGTTACTGCATCCTCTTTACTTCTTACAAGAAAAAAAATCTTGAGGTTTAACAGCCCAGAGTCCTAGTGCATGTATTCAGACAGTCTCAGAGTTCACACTCACATACATGAGAGGAAACACTTATACTCTACCATAAACCTTTGCTTGGTAGACCTTTGAGGGGAAATGTGGTTTGTAAGATTGATACATTAACATTTGCCTCCAGTAACAGGCTAATGAAAAGAGCTCAATTATGCATAGATCTGCGGAGAACTCACTTAAATATTTCTACTGCTACAATGGTAAATAAGGTTGGATGGTATTAGTAAGGAAGAGCATTTTAGAGTTCTGGGCTGCCTGTTATCAGACTTTTGCTCTTAACTTAGATGGGAGGTCAATATGGTCACTCAAGGAAAATATTTCACCTGGTATACATTTGTTCAACATGCTTCAATTTATTTTCAGATCCTGTTTTTCTTAGAGATATTAATTTAGGAGTGAATAGATGATTTATAATTACAAGAATTACGTAATCACATTCTAAGTTTCTACCTCATTCTTACTCAGTTGTATTTAGGAGGTTCCATTATAGCCCTGTGTCTCTGCTACATTGATCTGTGGTTATACTTTACGCCTTCTTGTTAAATAAGCTGAAGTTTTGAAATGAACAAAGGAAGCATACTTCCCCACACAGGACATAAACCTGTGGAACTCATTGTCATGAGGTGCTGTGGATGTCAAAAGTATAAATGCTTGCAAAGACAGTTACACAAATCATGGATGAAAAGTGTGCTGAGGACTGTTATTCAAAAGATTCAGCAACAGCTTTCTCCTCGGGAAATACCTGCACTACAGTTTCTCCAAAGCAAGGGCATTTATCAAAGGAAGCACTACTCCATATGGAGTCTTTTCTTATCATCTTTTTCTAGAGATGGCTCCTATCAAAGACAAGATTCTGGGCTGAAGGGTAATTTAGTCTGCTCCAGACACAGCAATTTTTCTTGTTGTTCCTAAACTGCCTATGTGATCTAGCACTACAGCCCCATTTGAATGACTAGCTCAAAGGTAATTGCTCTTCCAGAGCAACTTAAGTAGCTGCCTTACCCAAGAAACCGTCCTCATCAATCAACAAAATTAGACATCTGCTTGATGTCCTCTGCTTATCTTTGCTTATGTTTTATACTTTCTATTAAATGAGCACCAAGTATGGCAGAAATGTAAAGCACGAAATCAAAACATTTTCTGACACAGATGATAAAACTGTGATTGTGCTCTCTCCTAGTTCACTGAAAAGCTCATATGCTAAGATGTGCTACAGAGATGTGTAAGTTGTGCTTCTCGCATAAAACATGGGTTTGGAAACTAAGTAGGAACAGATTTGGACTTGCAGAAAGCTCCTGTGATTTCAGGGAGTCTCTGTGTGGCTGCCATCACCCTCCCAGAGGATATCTGGGAAAGGCATTGAAAAAGCTTTTCTTACAGTCAGTCATCTGGGTCTCAGCAACCATGCCTGTCCCTGCATGTCAGCGTGGAAAGGTCCTTCCCTTTGTGCTAGGGAGAAGGAATGAGTTGCAGTTGCTGACTGGCTTCCCTTTCCCAGAAAAATAAGCTACTAAATTAAAACACCATACTTCTCAGTGGCAAACCAGTCTTCCAGTCCAGAATTATCACAGTTTTCAACACATAGTAACATAATGGAAGAAATAAATTTCTGCAGTTCCCAGCTACAGTGACCCTTTTTTTCTAAATCTTCGTGATATTATTATTAGAAATTAGAATTTTATGGCACTGATACCTGTTCAAAACACTAAAATGACTTCATATTGCACAGCTTTTTTTGTATTACTCATTTTTCGTACTAATTTTATGATATGTCAGTTTAATTAATATTTTCCACTGCCACATTTTATTTGGTAATTTTAACATATTTCTCTCACACCCTGTCTTCTCTAAGGGCAATTTAGATCATAAGAACTTGACAGAAAAGAAAAAAAATCTATTAATAAATTCAGCAAGACACATAAGAAAGAAAATGTATTTTGTATCAGAATAAAAGTAAGCAGTGTATTTTGGGTCAATCACTGCCAGTTAAACAGCTATAAAAACTGTTATTTCTCACAGACCTGACAAAAACCTGGATATAAATGTTTTAATACCTAAATGTCCAGTATAAATTCAAAGCTATGGAGTAAACCTCCTTTTAAGAACCTCACAAATTTTATTACAATCTCATTCCCCTCATTTTGGCTGAGACACAATATTTACTTGGTCAGAACATTTGCTTAAATATTAAGTAGAAAATCTACCTAAAGCAGTCTTAATAAAAGATGTTTCAAGATATTAACTTTGTAAACGGTTGTAATGAATCTTTGTAGCCAGGAAACTCAGTCTACCCAGAATAGAGTAAATTATCTTTGTTTCATTAAAGCACTATTTGTGGGAAAGCTCACTTAATTTAAAACAGTGCTGCTTCAGATATGGAACTGCTCAACATCTTCGCTGGAGACAACTGGACTTCGGAATTTAATATGAAGCTTCTTATCAGCCCTCAAAGTGACAACATCATCTACGTATTATTAATATTTCTAAATGCTTCTCAGGATTAAGTTATTATTTAGTAGATTAAAAAATTGGTTGATTTCTTTAGTTCTGGATGAGTGATTCCATGACAGTTCATTTAAGAATGAACTGCATTTAGTGAGGTACTGGCTTTTAAAAGTGGTCATGTGCCTTTAAAGCAATCTTTAAAATACAATCCTCCCTGTAGCCAAAGGAACAGGAACATAATTTAATTTTCTCTGTTCTAATCTTGAGGCTCTTTCTCATACCGCAAAATGGTAAATAAATGTCAACTCAAGAAGCAGCAGCAATTTATATTCTTGAACACTAGAAAGTCAGTTCCATGCTCTTAGATTTATTTTACTTTTACATCTCTTAGATCATACTGCCTTGTTGGTATTTTTAGGGTTGAAAAATAGTTCCCAAGGGTCTAAGTTCTTTGTATCATATTAACAGTGTGTACCATTCACTCCTCAATTTTTTTCTTTTTTTTTGTTAAGGATTCCATATTTATTCTGAGCATTAAACATAGAAGTACATTTCAGTTATGAGTCATAAATTATTGACAACTAAGAGGTATTCAAACCTTGTTTAAAGTAACTTTTTTTCTATCTGACACTAAAAGTACTGCCATTAAAGTCAACTTAATTTTGAAAGTTTAAAATAGATCAATATTTCCCTTTTAAAACACAGAGACAACTTTAAACAAGTTGCCAGGGCTCTCACTTGTACAAGAATATAATGCACATTTTTCTACTCTGAGTTAACTGTTCTACATCCAACAAGTAAAAGCAGCATAGTGAAGAGGATTTTGCCAGCCTCCCTAGTCTTACTCTGCATGAAGTCCAAATACCCTTGCTGGAAATAAATACACAAAGGTTCACTTTCACTGAACATGAGTTTGTCTATAGTTACCACCAACTGAAATTAGAAACTAGTTTAGGCTAGTTGCCTGGAAATCTTGCTTTTGTTTTCTATGACATTAAGAGATCATATGATCACACTCTTGGATATCATCTCTTGTATTTTAATAAAACTATTAGAAAAAAAAGCAAATAAATTCCCATTTCTGTATGTCTTCATACACAACTGCTGTGCACCCTAGGAACCCTTATTTTGTTAAACTACCACCTTCTCTTTTTAAGCAGTGGCCTCCAGAAGGTGATCTTTCAACCACAGGTGATCCTGAGTCTGATGGGGAGTTTGTAGCTGTTTCGTGTACTGCCTTAATTTGTGTTTCACTTGAAATTGTGTGGAGAATGCATGTATGGGTGCATGGAGGTTTTTGACCAGCCTTGGACTTTGCTTAGAGTATTTGGCTATCTCTGTTGAGGACATCTAGACAGTGTTAATGAAAGCCTTCTTTACATCGTCACTGATATTTGTAAAGTAACTCAGGTCAGTTTGCAAGGAAAAGAAAAAGCTTAGCCATTGACTGAAAGCTTAATTTTCTCCTCCAATAATGAGGTAATAAAGATTGAACTCCCTCTTTACAATTAATAACAGAGATATCTGCACTATCACAGCACTGTACTCTTAGCATCCTGAGGCCACCAAGAGCCCCGACTGTCCCTGCCCAGCTCTGCTCATGGCTCTCCCCACCCTGTCCATGCCCCAGCACCCTATTCCAGCCCCCTAAAGTCATCTGTCCCTGCCCCAGAAATGCTGTGGCAGGGCCAGTTCCATAGCCAACCTCAACCTCAGCTCACCCATGATTCTTGAGGCTGGGGCTGCCTCAGTGCCCCCCCAGCCTTCCTACTCCTGACTGGGTGGGACAGGCTCTGGATGGTGAAGACCCTGGCAAACTAGCCTGCATGGGCTACCCTGTGGTCCCTGCTCCCCCTCCATCCCTCAAAGTCAGCTTTACTGTACCGCGAGTTCACTAGAATAAAATCAGATGTTTCCAGTCCTGTTTTTCTTTTTTCTTCACCCTCTCTTTCCAAATCTTCATGTTTTGCAGAATGCAACAACCTGTAAGTGTTTGGCAGCTCTGACCATCAAAAGTGCATCACTCCCATCCCTACTCTCAGCACTGGTTCTCAGCTGAATACAATTGAAGCTCAGTGTTTCAGTTCTGATCTTTAAAGGCCAGCATGTGATTGACCTTGGCAACCTAACGGATGGTCTCAGTCTCCCTGATTATGACCTCTCATGACAACTGCATTCCTCTGGGGAACTGGAAATGTCAGACATCAAAGTAAGACCCATAAGCGTGTCAGACAGTTTTCTCAGCAGCTGGCTTGTGACTAAGAAATTCACTGTGACAGAGATCAGAGTGACCACAAACAAAACTGTAAAACTCATATGTTCAACCTAGGTTTCCCAACATCATGATAAAAGGAAAAGCATCCATTGACAAGATGATGAAGAGGAACATTAGGACAGATTCTCAGCTGCTATAAAGGTGTATTGTTTGGCTAAAGACAAAGGAGATGATCATTAACCTATTGGTCCTCACACGCATTTTAGTTGCTAGAGAAAGTTGTACTGGAAGATCTATCTGTTAGAAAATGATTATTTGATGAAATTAAAGGTGTTTACCAGAGCAATTTTTAAAGGTAGCAGAAGTAACATATTCCGGTAGTGTTAATATATTTTATTTTGACCTCATGAAACATTCTTAGTTCAAAAAAGTCAAATTGTGCAATGTTTCATGCTAATTTAGGGTATTGTAATGGTTAAACCACATCAACTAGTACATTATGTCAAGTCAAAGTAATATAATGAAATAGAATATGACACTTTCTGTCACAATCTTTCCCAGCATTTTTGTACGTATTCTATTACTGACATCACATTTCCAAAATAAAATAAATTTGAAGTAATATTTAATTGTTCTATCACAATATAAATATTTCCATTTCTAATCCAATTATTAATATAACTATTTTATCAATTTCTTACAGTCAAAATAAAAATTTCACCATTTACAGTAGGCTGGAATTTTCAAATTCTCCAACTTTTCTCACACTTTATTGTGATGCTTAGATGACCAAATTCTTCAAAGGTAGGTATAAAACAATATGATAGAAAAATCAAACTACATACACCATCCTTTGTTTGTATCATAAATAGGTTTATTTATTTAGAATGATTGCCAGTGTCCAATCTTCAAAGATGTTCAGATGTTAAAAAATATCTATAAAAGCAAACAAACCATGAATATATTCTGCTCACACAGTAATTTAAAAGTTTTCCCTCTGTAGTTTAAAGACATATGTCTCTCAGTTTTCTCCCTTTACAGCATGCAGATGATGAAAAATAGCCTTATCACCCTAAGTGATTTTAGATATTCATCATTAAGTCTGTATTTATTATGCATAGAATCCATTAAGGAGGATTTGTCTCTGTGGTAAAGGCCTGGGTTTTGTAGAGGTTGCAGGAACATCTGTGCAGTCATCCTGATACTCCCTTTACAGTGTGACACAAGCCTGCGTGGTAGAATTTGGTTAAGCTCTAGGTATTTCAAACAAGGCCTGCAATAGTAGGTAAGTGATGTATATAAAAGCTTTGTCTGATCCATTGTCATTTACAGCAGTGAAGTTGTTCTTAATGCTTACCATGAATTAGGGAACACAACAGAGAGTCACATTCTTAGATTCTGGTTAATCAAAAGACTCTGTTGAAGTGAATGGCTCAAAGCACATAATGAGCTAGATTTGCAATTGAAGTCAATGTAAGAAGTTCAGAAAAAACATCAAAGGTAGGAGCTTATGGGGGTTGAAGGAAGAAATTTACCTGTTCTTTGAGACTTTATCACCAGTTTCACTCATAGGTAAAATTGATGAAGTTATACTCTGCACAGTGTAATACCCAAAGATATTACATATAAAATCCATGTTTCCCAAGCCCTAGTATCCTTAGAGAGAGCAGAGGACATTCACAGCTTTAGTGCTATGTGACTTTATACAAACTTAGGCAATATCTCAGGGATACCTACTTTAAGATACGGAGCTTCTTGCAGACCCTGGTTGAGGAACAGATTCCAAAAATCTATTCAGATAGAGAAATGTCTTTTTGGATCAGAGTATAAGAATCAGAGAAACATAGGAGAGGGAGAAACCTCCTGACTCGGCAAACAGTAACCTACTATCATATCAGCTAATTCTTTCTTAAATATAATCTCTCTAAAAACAAAGATACAAATAACCATCTGATAAAAGTGTACATCAAGAAAAGAATAGTAATTTTAAGATCATAATTTGAAAATTTAATAATGACCTATAATCTGTTATACTGTGAATATCGTGACACTGGTAATAAAATTAAGGTCTTAATAACATCTTTTTAAGAAAGAACAAAAAGCCTTAAAGACAACAACTTGGATTGTTTCCAGGATGAGACTTGAAGCTGCTAAACTGACAAACAAGTATTTTCCTTTATGTGTTTTGCTGACTATAAGACACAGGTGAAAGCTTAGTAACACATGAAAATATTTTTTCTTGTACAGATTACTTCCATAGGAAGGACAGACAGGACATAAATTAATGATTAACTCAGCTGGTTAGATCATGGTCCTAATTACACCAAGATCATGGGTTCGTTCCCCAAACTGGCCATTCACTGAAGAGTTGGACTTGGTGATCCTTGTGGGTACCTTCCAACTCAGTATATTCTGTGATTCTGTAATCATGTGAAAAACTTTCTTCACCTACCTGCTTGCATCTTGAAAACCTATGAAAGAATTCAAAGAAATACTCTTCCTGTAGATAGAGGAAAGCATTCTCGTTGACTTTTCTGGAAGCACGTCAAAAACATGAGTCATGTCTCCAAGAACTCTTTAGTGATAAAGTCTGTTCCTTTCCTATGGCTGCAGCACACACGATAAGAATAATCTCTACCTTAAGCTATACACTTGAGGGCTTGGGCTGTTTGAGGCTTTTGGGTGAAGATTCAGATGGTAAGGAAAAGACAAGAAGCAGATGCTCTGTTACTTAAAAGCTTTCCCAGAACCCTAAAGATCAGAGAGCAATGTTTGGTGCTTTGGGCTACATGGGACTTGTTCAGACCCCATGGTTTCTTCACTTTGGTAAGAGTTTCTTTCTGAAATACCTGGAAAAGATTCTTTGTAACTTGTTTCTTACAAAGCTCTAGTGACATATGAGATCAATATTTATAAAAACTGAAAATAAAGGTAAGAAAAAAGTGTTAGGTTCTTAAGTGGACAGAAGACTGGCTTCAATAAACAGAACTTTTTTGGAGGGCACAAGGACTAGTGTTAAGATATGTATTTCCTGCTATTCCATTTCTCCCTAAGGTGCGGTTTTTTAGGTTTGAGTTTTTTGGGGTTTTTTTGTTTGTTTGTTTGGGTTTTTTTTTTTGGTTTGTGTGTTTGGTTTTTTTGTTGTTTTTATTTTGAGAGGGGCAAGTGTTGGGTATTTTTTGTTTTGTTTAGCTAACAAAGCTGGCAAAAAGGAGAAGGCAACATGAACTTAGGTACAAGGAGGGACCATACACCTCACAGCTTCGCTCATTGCTTATTGCTGATTTTGTCATACATCTGTAAGTTTAAATACTTAAGGGACAAAACAACTTCACAGATTTTCCCAGCTGTGAGGCAGTCTTTTGTTCTGGGGGTTTACTCCACAAGTCGCCTGTTCAGTGATTTTCCTACCAACATTAAGTTCTTCTATAACAACAATAAATATCTATGAATACACTTATCCCAAGAGATCATTACTAGGATCACTCAGAGTGTTTTTATCAGCACAATGTATCTTCTAGTTACCAAAACTAAAGAAAAAATTATGTGTCTTATCACTGTAATCACTGGTTTCTTATGGAAAAAGGTCTGGTTTACAAAGTGCCTCAGTAATCTAAAATCTAGAAGACTTCTAAAATCTGTGATCAGTAATCTTTCTAAAGAGGAGAAATAAAGGGCCAGCAGTCTTAACAGGCAGACCTGGATAAGACCACTGGGTTGGGGGTCAACCCAGGCCATGGCCACCTCATGATGCCTGGGAGTGTCTTCCAGGGCCAGAGCAGGGAAGGGGCTGCCCTCAGCAGCACCAGCTCTGAGCTGGGCCTAACTCCCGGCAGCCAAAACTCCCTCTACCCGTAAGGTGAGGGAGGTCTCCTGTTGCAGCCTGGGATGGCACTACAAGCAGTAATAAAGCTATACTTTCATTTTCCTAGTAGCTAAGTGCCACTAAATCTGGTATTACGCTCCTCAATGCCCATCCCTCCAGTGTCTGAGAAACTGCAGATCTCAGCCAAGAGCAGTAATGGGAATTCACCGGCAATACAACTCCGCTGTGGAAATGGGCAAAAGAGATGTGCTGAAAGGGGGTGAGAGACAGTTCAAGGGGATTATTGTACTCGACTGACAGGTCAGGCTGAGACAGAGGAGTCCCTTAAGTAAAAAAAAACAAAACATGAAGTGTTTCTTGTCAGTGATAAAGGGCATTTGAATGAGTTACTTGGGGACACTGAGTGGGCCTGCCTATAGACCATTTGGGAAAGGGTAACTGTGGTGAAATGAATTCAAATCACTGTGCTTTATGCTCAAAGGTCGTAGAAGTCAATGCCATGGCTTGGAACAGGACTGCAGTTTCTGACCAGAGAAATCATTTCAACATGAAGCTTACTAAGCTTCAAAGAGCACCGACATAATATGAAATGTCAAACTGATATGTATAATGTCAAATCGTAACAGTGGGCTACCCTTACCCATTCCAGGTCTACATTTTTTACTTTTTCCTTTGGAGAATACTGGCTGCAAAAATAAACAAATAGCAGCAACTAACAGATTTATATACATTTGGAAGTGGTTGCATAGCAACAACTTCAGAGCTATCTTCCTCCTTCTTGTAAATTTATTACTGTCAGAGTGACTGGTGGGATTAATTACCTGTTTTGCTACCTTTTGTCTCTCATGTACTTTGGAATTCATATCTGGAAAAAAATGGGATTTTTCAGAAAGTATTTTCAATTTCTCTAAAAAAATAAAAACCTCTTATCACACTAAATACAAACTAAAACACGTATGAGATGCAGAGTCTACAACCATTGCTCTCTGTTGGTGATTATAACAGTCAAGTGGAACATAAAAGGCTTATCTCCAGTACCTGCCATAAACCTGCATATGAATTTTCCAAATCAGAGGTAATAAATTCAATGGACTATTGAATAAGGAAAATTAGGAATATAATTTCCCACAAATTGATGTGTATGCTACTCTTTATTGATTACATTATTACACTATTGTGTTTCTGAGTAATATGGAACAGATGTCTCTCACTAAGACTTTCAGCTGAGAAAGCAGCCTATCAAAACTGGGAAACAGATTCTATTAATAACTTCAATTTCAACAACTTTACAGGTTTTGTAGAAAAATAAGATAATAGGTCATTGAAAATTCTTGTCTACTTATTACTGAAGATTCATTCCCAGGCTATAAGAGATATTAGACTTCAGTAAACAGAGTTTGCATGTGCCTTGCATGGAAAATAAAGAGTTGGTTTCTTAATTTCTGGATCAGAACACTGAACAAGTAAAGGATGTGGATCTGTTAGAGTGAGTCCAGAGGAGGGTCACAAAAATTATTAGAGGGCTGGAGCACCTCTGCTGTGGAGACTGGTAAGACTCAACTTCACCATTCTTGGGCACTAACATTTGGAAGGGTTTCACTGTACAATGCAGAGATTTCTATATTAGGCTCAGGCTAACATGATGTTTCTCTATGTTCTTCATGCCATAAGTAATCCTGTGCTCTGTAGACAGCTATCAATGCACAGAGGATTTGACCTTTGATGCTACATTTCATTGGTTTTAAAATACAACAGACACAGAAATTAATTTTTAATCTTCATTATCTCTTTATTAAATGATTTTTTAAAAATATTGGATGAAATAATCTACATAATATGATAATCCATTTATTTTTAAGGACAGAATCAAATATAAACAGAAGCAAAATAAAAAATAAAGGCTGAAGTCATGTTTACAAAAGCATAACATTTCATCTCTCTCCAAGTAATTTTTTTTGTAAGAAGTGTAATTTATTGATGGTTTAAAAAGAGAGCTTTACATATAGAAGTTTGAGGCTATTCCACAAAAGTAAAATATTCCTGATGCAAAGAATCCACAGATGTTGTTAGTCTCCTGTTACTGCATTTCATGTTTTCTGCTGTGAGTTGCTAAAGTATGAAAAACAAACCAATCTCTGTGATTTATCTGGACTATTTCTTCCTGCTTCCATAACATCAACATCATCTGTCCATATCCTGACTGGTCAGCTACTTGATCCTTTGACTACTCAAAAGTATATAGTTTGAATGAACATTCTTGTTTTTTTGTTTTTCTAACCAAGCTCTAACACGCAGGTTTGCCTTAACAAGCTTTTCAATTTCATTTCTTAGCCAAGTGTTATGTTGCTTCTGACTCCATTCAATAGATCTTCTAGGATATTATTTTCATCTTAAAAAATTCTTTCTGAAGTAGCTCCACGGTTCCTTTTTAAATTGTTTTCAGCTAAATACAACTGTGCTGTAAATACAGCTGTACTGCATATCCCTAGCTTCATAGAAGGTAGATCAAAACTACAAATTCAATAGATACTTTCAAAAATAACTTTCAAGAAGAGGAAAAGTCTAAATAATTAAGAAATGCTACTACCTATATCTGAAAAGGTCAATTCTTGTAAAGTACACAAAAATTTAACAAGTTCTATTAATTTTCAAAAGATAACATAATGAACTGCTTCTTTGAAATTGTGTTAAAAAATACTGACAACTTAAAAAGCTCACTAAATTTACCAGTTCTAAGTGAGTTTGCACGCAACTCATTTTGCTACCACTTACATCTGAGTGGCTATTTCTTCTATTCTTGCAGATCTGCAAGCTTTTACAAGCAAAATAAATTGTATTTCCTCTCTACAATAGCACTGGAGAACTGAAATGAGCAATGCCAAATTTAAAAGCAATGTCTTACATTTATAGATCTCAAAATATGACAAATCTTTCTGATGCATGTCAGTGCTCAGATTTTGCTGGTTTTCCTCAGACTAGACTTGCAGAAGGAGGTTACCTCTATCACCTCCACATTCTGATAAAAAGCCTTACAAGCACTCCATACTGTCAAGAACACTGTCATAAAAAACAAACAAACAAACAAAAAACAACAACAACAAAAAACCCAAACAAACCACAAACAAAAACCTAACAAAGCAAATAAAAAAAAACAACACCAAAACCCAGTAAAATTGATCTTGTGCAATGAGAGCAGTTAGTGGGAAAACTGTAAAGAGTTCATAAACTTTGTCTTTCAAATCTTACAAGTTTAAGCATGGGGAAAAAAAAAACCAAAACAACTATTTACAGGATGAGAGTCTAAAACTCTCTCCAAACAAGAGCTTTAAGCATTCACATTGCATTGTTCCTTTATATTCAGAGTTACCTGCAAAATGCTGAGGATGCAGGAAAATATGTGAACACTGTGGGATAAGCAATATGCCACTGGGATGTGAATAATGGAATATTATTTCATGTCTGGCACTCGGTTTAAGACAAGTGCCATTGGTGCAATGAGGTATGAAATAGTACTTCATAATTCACACACAGGAGTGTCTTATTGCAACTAAGATTTTGTTGTAAAGTATGATTTAATAAAAGATTTTGTGTATGTTAAGAAGTGATGTTTAAAAATTACAACCAGTTCTTTTTCTGATCATTAGATCACTAAATTTCTACTGTCTATTTTTAGTGACAGTTAAGCATGTCTTATTAAAATGTATTAAAATAATGCATAGACAATTATGGCTTTTAAATCTCTTTTAAAAAGCACTTCAAATTTTATGACCCTTTCAATGGTTACTTTTTTCCCTTTCTTAAAGTATTTCTTTTTTACTGTTTAATATTTATTTTTTAATAATCTCCAGTTTCATTTTTAATTAATTTAAGGCTTTTTTTCCTTGTGAATTACCTTTGTCTAACCAGGGGTATTGAGACAGTTCATGTCTCCATCTTTCTATAACTATATATGTGTAAATGTATGAGGCTCACTCTTGAGGCAGTAAATTAGCGTAAGTCATCAACCTTCATTATTGACGTTATCATCTTTATCCACACCAAACTGACCAGTAGTTGCTTCATATTTCTTGAACTTGACTCTGAGTTCTGTCTCAAGTTTTCTTTCAGAGTTTTCCAGGTATTAATCCATAAAGTACTTCTCTCTATATATTCCGTATGTCTCCCCCCACTAGATTTGTTTCTGCTTATAGGTATACATAGAGAGAGAAAGAAAAGTGAGGCACTAAGGGATGTAACTCAAAATAGATAAATCCATGCTAACCAATTTCTTTTACTTGAAGAGTAGTTTGTATCTCTGTAAACTCCAGCCACTTTGAAGTGGCAAGGTTAGGGACTGAGAAACCAGGCTTATATGCAAAAGTTCAGCAAAGCCTGTAGGCTCTGAGAAAACTGTCACTGCAGGTTGTAATCAAAGATTTAGAAGTTATACTTGAAGACAAGTCTTATACAAAACATGGTCTGTATAACCTCCTGTGGGGGTGCTTACAGGGCTCACCTT